ACGGCACCCTGGCGGGCGACTGGCAGGCGGTGGCGCGCCTGCTCCACCTGCTGGTGGGAGAGTTGGCGGCCGTGGGACTCCGCTTAAGCACGGGGCCCGGGAAATGCGAGGTGGTCCCCACTGGCGGCGACGACAGCGAAGTGAATCTGCAGGATTTCCCCCCGGGCTTCCGCCTGCGCACGGACGGCTGCTTCGAACTCCTGGGCGCGCCAGTCGGCAGCGACGCCTTCTGCCTCGATCACACGCGGCAGCGAGTCGGCAAGGCCACCGAGCTCCTCGAGGCACTCGGCGCCCTCGAGCACGCCCAGGTTGCGCTCCACCTGCTGCGGCAATGCGCCGGCTTCTGCAGACTCAGCTACTCGGCGCGGGTTGTCCCGCCCAACGTGCACACGGAAGCGCTCGTCGCGCTTGACAACGCAGTGCGCGCCAGCCTCGAGCAGCTGAGCAGCAGCTCCCCCACGGACGACTCCTGGGCGCAGGCGCAGCTCGCCCTCAAGGCAGGCGGCCTGGGACTGCGCTCAGCGGAGCGCCACGCGCCCGCCGCCTACCTGGCCTCCCGCGCGGCCTGCTCTGCGCTCTGCCAGCGGCTCTGGGCGGGCTACTCCAACGACGACACTGGCGCCGACGACGCCCTGGGCGCTGCCGCGGCGGCCTACAACGCCCGGCTACCACAGGCAGACAGGATTGCCTTCGACGCCAGCCAGCACGGTGACCAGCGGGGGCTCTCTGACAGGCTGGACAAGGCCGCCAAGGCCGAACTCTGGGAGCGCGCTTGCCCCGCCACCAGGGCCCACCTCTCGCTGGTTAGCGCTCCCGGCGCCAGCGGCTGGCTGCAGGCGCGGCCCTGCGCTGAGGTCGGCACGGAGTTCCCGCACGGCTTGATGCAGATCGCTCTGCACAGGCGCCTGCGGGTGCAGCTGGCGGACGCCGAGACCTTCTGCCCGGCCTGCGACGGCATCCTCGACGTCTACGGCGACCACGCGCTGGTCTGCCCTTGCCGAGGGGACCGGGTCAAGCGGCACAACGCCCTACGAGACCAGGCTTTCTTCGCCGCGCAGGCCGCAGGGTTCCCGGGCTCCGAGCTCGAGCGGCCCGGCCTGCTGCAGCCTCGCGCGAGGGGCGAGGGCCCGCCGGGGACGGAGGAGAACGGCGGCGAGCTCGACGACGGCGGCCGGCGCCCGGCGGATGTGTACATTCCCCGTTGGCGTAACGGCGCCCCGGCCGCCCTTGACTTCGCGGTCACTTCGGGGCTGCGGGGCGACTTGCTCGCCGCCTCGGCTGCCGCGCCCGGCGCCGCGGCCGAGCGGTACGAAGAGCAAAAACGCCTTTTCCTCGACACCGAGCGCAGCTGCGCCGCCGCCGGGATCACCTTCATTCCCATGGTGGTCGAGGCGCACGGCGGCGGCTGGGGCAGGGAGGCGCGACGCGCCCTGGCCGTCCTGGCCAAGCGCGCGGCGGACGCCACGGGGGACGACCCCTCGCAGGTGGCGGCGGAGCACGCCCAGCGACTCTCGCATCTCCTCCAGAAGGAGAATGCGCGGGCCGTGCTCCGCAGGCTGCAGGCGCCGGCCGGGGCGCCCGCGGCCAGGCTGGCGGCGGCCACGGCGGCTAGCGCGGCCGACGCCGCCTGAACCGCCGCCCTCCCCTGACCACGACCACTCCCTCCACTGACCACGACCACCGCCCCCGACGCCCTGCCCCGACGACCCCCCCTGGCCTTGGCCACGACGACGACCACCTCCGTCCGCCCCCTGCTTGCTCTGCACTGCCTCTGCTGCTTCCCTCCCTCCTTCTGGTCAGCGTCTGTTCGGTGTGCTTTTCCTCTTGCCCCTCGTCTTCCTCCTCCTCCTCCTCCTCCTCCTCCTCCTCCTCCTCCTCCTCCTCCTCCTCCTCCTCCTCCTCCTCCTCCTCCTCCTCCCGGGGCTTGGCACCGCCGCCGCCCGTCGGCCAGCCCCGCAACAGGGCGATGGCGGCCTCTGCCTCAGGCGAAGAAGCCCGACGGCAACCGTCGCCTTTGGGTGCGGAGCCCGCCGGGCCGCGCGGCCAGCATAGGGCCCTCCAGCAAGGCGACCACTTGGGGCGCCGCGCCAAGGAGCGTAGACGGTCTCTATGTATATTAGATGTTCGGCCTGGGGAAGCCCTCGCTGGGCCCCAGGACAGTGTGAACGGGGACCCTTGGGACTTCAGTGCCGCTGCTGCTCAGCCAGGATCCTCTCGGCCGGGCATGTAGGGCAGCGCCCCCGCCAGGGCCTGCGCGCCCTCGCCGCGAATGCCGTTGCCGCCCAGCCACAGCTGCTGCAGGCCGGGCATGGAGGGCAGCGCTCCCGCCATGGCCTGCGCGCCGTCGTCGCCGATGCCGTTCCCGATCATGGAGAGACGATTCAGGCCGGGGCCTGCGCGCCCGCGGGGCCGATCTTGCAGCTCATCAGGACCAGCGTTTCCAGGCGGGCCCACAGCCGCAGGCAGCCGGCGAGCCTCGCGGCCTGCTCGGCGCTCGGGGGCGGCATCCTGGTGAAATTCAGCTCCGTCACGCCGCCCAGCTACGCGCGGCTCATCCGGCGAAAGAGCGCCTTCTCCGCATCCCGTTCCGCGCCGTTGGTGAAGGACCTGTCCTCGATGAGCCCGTCGAACTCGTCCGGGCCCGCCGGCCGCCTCCTCCTGGCCTGCGCCGCCCCCGCCCCTCGCCCCAGGTCGGCCATGGCGTTCCGCTTCTCCCCCAAACGGAAGACCCGCTTGATCTACTCCGCGGAGCAGCGCTCATACGTCGTCCAGCCGGACTGGTCATAGCCACAGTCTCGCGTGCTGCCCCTCTCACGGGGGCGCTGGGTGAGCAGGAAGACGGTGGTGGCCTGGTGGGCGTACCAGAGGTCCATCGTCTCCTCCAGCCCCTGCTTGAAGGCGGCTTTCTCGGCGGGGGCCCGCTTGGCCTTGTCCGCGGTCTCCTGCGCGTCCTTCTCGCCCTTGCCCTGCCGCAGGGCGGCGCCCTTCGCCTCCTCGGCCTGGATCGGGTCGCCCTGCAGCAGCGAGAGCCAGTCCCAGAAGACTCCCATCTCGCTGAACCCCCTTGAAGAAACCATCCACCTGACCATCGGCTTTGGAGTACTTGCGGCGTTCCTTCTCTAGGGTGTAAAGCACGAGCTCCAGCTGCAACTCCTTGGGGTCAGGATGCACGCGTGAGTCCCAGCAAAACGAGATGGTGATGATCGGCGCCACATGGTCACGTCCTCCTCGCCCGCTGGCCCCCCAAACGGCCCGGAGCTCGTCCGCGGACACGAAGGCCTCCTCTGGCAGCTCCTGGCACCTTTTCAAGACTGTATCGCAGCCATGACATGCGGACCAGGCGCACGGGGTGGAGGCCCTCCACGGTGGTGAACGCGAGCGCGTCGAAGAGGCTCGCGGCGCCCGTGTGCCGCGTCAGGTCGAACGACTCCTGCTCCTCCTTCTTGGGGCCCTCCTGCTGCTACTGCTGCTGCTGCCGCTGCTGCTGCTGATCCACGGGCGCCTCCAGCGACTGGGGCAAGTCGTCGCTCTCCTGCTGGTCCTCGGGCACGGACACCTCCGCGACGTCCGGCATGTGCGGGGGCGGCCCGCCAGCCTGCTAGTCCTCGGGCGCGAGGGCATGGCAGGAGGCCATTCAGCAGCCATCGTGTCGGCGCGGGGGGCTGGTTTGCAGAGGAAGGAGGGGCGCTCGCGCCTGCTTCAATACTTGCGAACAGTCGTGGAAACTTGAGCCAGAATGGCTACGGAAGCCTCGTGGATGCAGTTGTGTGGTAGTTTGGGGCCGCGTGGGGGCCTCCTGGAGATCTCTTGGAACTACTTGTGGGCCTCTTTGAGGCCTCTTGGGGGCCTCCCTTGGGGGCTGCCTGCTGGCGGTCTCAGGGGTCATCTTGGGGCGAAGAGTTCGAAGTCTCACTTCGTGTCCCGCCTCTTTGGCCCATCTTGTGACCCTCTTGGGCCCTCGTGGGGGCATCGTGGCCCGTCTTGGGGCCCTCGTGAGCCGTCTTGGGGCAATATATGGGGCCTCTTGAGCTGTCATTGAGCGTCGGGGCCCCGGAATGCGGGAACGCAAACAACAGTTAACAAACTAAGGACAAGGAATGAGTGTTGGCATCTTAGGGCCCTCTTGGGAGGGCACCTGGGGCTCTCTCGGGGCATCTTGGGGGCCTCTCGGGCCGTCTCCAAGTATATCTGGCGCTCCTGAAGCTTTCTGGAGCCGCCTTGGGGCCCTCTGGGGCGTCTCTGAAGACGTCATGGGGGTGTCTTAGTCTGTCATGATGCGTCTTGTGGGCATGTTGGCCCACCCGGCACCATGCGGCGTCGAGGGCCAGCCCCGGGTCCCAGGGCCGCGTCGGCAGGGATACGCATCTGTATGTGTCTATCTCTCTATATGTATAGATATGCGTATATATGACCATGCGCACCTCACGATACTTGTGTCATTCGCGTTATTTCTGGCCGTTTCGCTCGAGGCAGCCTTCACAATTCCGAGAATCGGACTCGCCCCTGACGCAGAGGGCGACGTCAGGCTCTCAAAAACATGCGGAGTCGTCTTTGCTTATCTCATTCAGCCTTCCAACAACACAATTGATGTCATAGATGTTGCACAGATTTGTGATACAACTCATGGTTACGGAATGGCTCCCTGTGTAGTTCTTCAGCATTGTATAGAGAGACCATCAACACACAATGGAACCCAATGATTTTTACTTAACGGTGCAAACGCCATGTGGTTCCCAATGTAGTGATTTATACGTTGCTCTAACATATGTTTCTGCATGCACGCTGCGCTTTTTGTATGAACCTGGGCATGCACGTGCCGCATCGATGTATGTAATATGCATATGCGTATCTAGATGTGAACTATACACATGTGTGTATGTATATGTGTGTTTGATCTTCAGTGTTGCCCCCTTGAGCACGATCCAGAGAGGACTGCGCGTACCCAGAAGTGTGCGTCGGCAGTGGGTTCGGGCCAGGGGGGGGGGCACACCCGAGCCGTCCTCGGCGAAGTGCTCCAGCACCTGCATCAGGTCCGGCCCAGCCTCCCTGGCCCTGAGCATGTCTAGCACCGCGCTCACCTGGGGGCCTTCTGCCCATGTTCGCTCCTCCTCATGCTGCTGCTGCCGCTCCTCCTCCTCCTCCACCTCCCCCTCGATCACCTCCTCCGCATCCCAGTCCCCCTATTGCTCCTCCTCTGTGGAGGAAGCAGCAGCAGGCGAGCCTCTCAAGGTGCTGCTCAGGGGTAACCTCCGCGACCTCCCCGCTGCAGGATGCCCGAAGCCTCTCGGCTCCGTGGCGGCAGAACGCGGTGCAGGCAGCCGCGGCCTCCACGCGCGGAGCACGTGGAGCCATCGGCCCCGGGCCCGCGCCTCTCGGCACCGATGGCGAAGGCCCGCCCCCTGCCAGGACCCGGGCCGCCAGGCGGACCTCGGACGCCTCGTCCTGCTGGCGACGGGCCTGCTCGCACCGAGCAGCGTTCCGCTGCGCGCCCGCCGGCCGGACGGTCGCCCACCGACTCGGCGACCCCGCGCCTCTCGACGCCGACGGCGAAGACCCGACGCCGCCAGGCGGACCTCGGCTGTCCCGTCCTGCTGGCGACGGGAACTGCTCGCGCGTTCGAGCGCGCGCTCTCATCTGCTGGACGATCGCTCACCGACCCGGCGATAGAGGCTCAAACGGCAGCTGATGAACCAAGAACGGGTCACCACCGCCAAGTAGCTCAGCTGTTCAACATCAGCAAGCGCAGAGTTCAAGGATCGGTCCTCGAGCCTTACGGCCCACCGACGGCCGAATTACGACGCCTTCAGCATCGATCGCTGTGCACCGCCACTACTGCCAACTCCACCGAAAGCGCTGCCACCTCCGCGTCCGGCGGGCGAAGGCGCTCGTTCACATCCAGCAAGCAACAGCCCTCGCTCGCATGGCAGATCAGCTGACGACAGCAGACTTGGTCACTCTGCGATGGGCGATGGGTCGCGGCGAATTCCCGTACAAGCATCGGAGAAACCTGAAACGCTCGGTAGAATGCGCCGATAGAGGGAGGAGGAGAATGGGGGGAGGAGGCTGCAGGAGGAGTGGGAGAGAGGAACCAAGGGGAGAATGGGAGAATGCTGTTCATCAACCTCGCCATCGGTCATACTACCGAACTCACTATCAGCCTCCACGGGCCACCGCGGGGCACCACTGGACACCGCGCCACGGGATACCACGGTACACCGCATCGATCTCACTATCGATCGACCTCACCGTCGATCTCACTCAGTCGATCTCACAATCGATCTCGCAATCGATCTCACTATCGACCTCCACGGGGCACCACGGGACACCGCGGGACACCGCGCCACGGGACACCACTGGACACCGTATCGATCTCACCATCTATCGACCTCACAATTCGATCCCACGATCGATCTCACTCAATCGATCTCACAGTCGATCTCACTGTCGACCTCCACGGGACGCTGGCGGAAAAACCCTGGGCCACCGCCGGCCAACCGGGGGGAAGAGAGACATTGAGCACAGCTTCGCTCCAGCCAGGGCGGGATCCTTCCTCTCGCCCGCCAGCGCAGCTTCGCCTCGCCTGCGCGCACGACACGAAAGCGAAACTGACTTCCCAGTGGGGGGCTCTCCGTTTCTCTGCGATCTCATCCCTCAACCTCCGATCGATCTATCCGGACATCCATCGAGAATCAGCGTGGCAACCAACGGAACCAGGCAGCAGTTACTTGCCAGCGGGCTCTTCGAGTTAGAAGAAGGTTCGATCTCACTATCGACTTCACACTCGAACTCACTATCGGTCTCACACTCGATCTCACTTCGTGGCACCAAAGGATCGGGGCAACCAGCGGAACCAGGTTACATGTATTTGCAAGCGCTCTCTCCTTTTAAGCACCTTAGATCCCCTGATCGATCTCGTACTCGATCTCACGATCGATCTCACACTCGATCTCACTTCGAGACACCAAGGGGTCGGGGTAACCAACGGAACCAGGTGGCAAGTGCTTGCCCGCGCGCTAGAAGAACATCCGGTCACACGGTCGATCTCGTACTCGATCTTACACTCGGTTTCACACTCGATCTCACTATGAGACACCAGAAGATCTGGGCAATCGGCGGAACCAGGTTGCATTTATTTGTCCGCGGGCTCTTTCTTTTGAAAGAACATAGCTACTAAGAACATACAAGACCACGGGACACCACGGGACACCGCGGGACACCACGGGACACCACTATCGATCTCACTACCGATCTCGCTATCGATCTCACTATCGATCCAACTATCGATGTCATCATCTATCGATCTAACTATGAATCCCACAATCGATCTCACTACCGATCTCCCTCCGTCCATCGATCTCACGATCGATCGATATCACTATCGATCTCACTCGTCATCTATCGACCCATCGATCGATCACACTAGCGATCTCACTATCGATCTCACGATCGATCTCGCACTCAATATCACTGCGAGACACCAGAGGACACCGCGGGACACCACGAGACACCACGGCGGGACGCCAGGGACACCCGCGCCCCAGCGAGGAAAAGCGAGCCAAAGCCGACCGAGGGAAAGCGAGGCGTGGCGAGCCAAAGACGAGCGACGACCTGCGCAGCTTCGCCTCGCCCGCACGCGCGACACGAACACGACACCGAAACCGATTTCCTGGTGAGGGGCTCCCTGTTTCACTGCGATCTCACCCCCCAACCTCCGACAGCGCAGCCGACGTCAGGGAAGGCCAAGGCCGTTTTTGGCCCACAGTCGCTGAGAGATGGCGGGTGGGGGGTGGGGTCCCCTGCCGAGCGCAGAAATCCGCGCGGACCTCCGCAAACTCGTGCTCAAGCCTGAGCTCTTCGAGTGGGGGCCCACCCGGGACAGTGCCGAGGGGGTTTTACCACTTGGGGGGTCGCCAACTCCTCGAGGAAGTCCCCCCGAGACCCCCGAGCAGCCCCCCGGCCTTTCGGGCCGATGGGGCTCGTGGGACCTATGGGATCTGGGCGGCATATACGACCTACGGGACTTGTGGCGCCTGTGCGACACGCGGGACCTGTGGGACCCGTGGACCTGTCGGCCCTGTGGGACCATGGGGGACCTCTGAGGCCTGTGGGACCTGTAAGACCTGCGAGAAGTGTGGGACCTCTGGGGCACGTGGGAACTGTGGACTTGTGCGACCTGTGGGGCCTGCAAGACCTCTATGGCCTCTAGGACTGGTGAGACCTGCGAGACCTGTGGGACCTGCGGGACATGTGTGACCTATGGGACATCTGGGCATTTGGAACCTGCGGGACTGTGGGACCTCTGTGACATGTAGAGCTGGTGGGGCTTGTCGGACATGCGTGACCCGCGAGACCTTTGGGACCTCTGGGACCTGTGGAACTTGGGGAACATGTGCGACCTATGAAACCTGTGGGACCTGTGGGACCTGTAGGGCCTGTGCGACCTGCGCAACCGTGGCCGTCTGGACCAGAACAGACATGTAGCCGACATTGGTGCGAGAGCACGATTCAAGAGGAAATCTCAAGCGGAACGGCTGGCGCACCAGCTGCCGGACAGGCTGCCAGACCGGGCGGTCTCGGCCTCCCCATCCCCCCTGTTGGACTCCACGTGCAACTTCGCGTATCTTTTACAAGGGGTCGGGGACGTCTGGAACAAAAATGTAGCCAGCACTGAGGCGAGAGCACGATTCCAGAATAAAGTGCGAGGAAATCTCAGCTGCTAGATTGGCTGGTCTCGTGCTCTCCGTCCCCCTGTGAGACTCCACGTGCACCTTACAACTTTGCTGCCCGAAGCCGTGTCCGTCTGGGCAAACATTGCGCAGAGCACCCAAGCGGGACGGCTGGCGCACCGTCTGCAGAACCAGGCTGTTTCGGGCTCCTCGTCTCCCCTGGGGGACTGTTCCGTGGAACTGTTTAGCCTCCCGTAGAACCCTTTGGTGAAACGCTATTGAGAATAAGCCAAGAACCCCCCAAGCCGCCCACAACAAACAACAAAAACTGTATTAGTCCCTCTGAACCAACACGTATGAGGAGGACCGGCTCAGGGGCGGAGACATCGACCGCCGACCTGGAATCGATAGCGATACATCGCCGATGAATCGGCGATGAGTCTCGATAGCGAATCCGTACGCTCCTGGGCGGGTTGGGCTAACGGACCACCACCGGCGGCGAACGATGATGAGTGGGCGACTGGGCGTCGATGCGTCCCCCCTGAGCCCATCCGTCCCTGACGTCACCCCTGGTAATCGCCCCCTTGAACCTCGATCCCCGAGAGTGATGGGCCTGCTTTCCACCACCACACCCCAGTAAGTTGGAGGGGGAAGGAGGTGGAGGACGAGGAGGAGGAGGACGAGGAGGAGGAGGAGGAGGAGGAGGAGGAGGAGGAGGAGGCGGAGGAGGAGGAGGGGGGAGGGGGAGAAGGAGGACCCCCTCCCCCTCCAACTTATGGTCGTGGTGGTGAAAAACAGGCCCATCACCCGAGAGGAGCCGGCGACCGCCCTGGTGGCGACCCCCTCTCGAAGCGGGTACCCTTCTCCCACGGCGTGCCTCGCTGGTGGCCCCGGCCCGGGGCTCGAGGAAGGCGCGGAGCGCGAAGCAGGCGCCGGCCGCCGTGTCCAGGTCGTTGGGGCACCGCCAGAGGGCGCCCAGGACCTGGAGAAGCATGCCCACCAGTTCGAGGAGGTTTTCGGGGAGGTTCGACGATCGAGGAGGAGCGAGGAGGTGCGAGGAGGTCCGAGGAGGTCGAGGAGGTTCGAGGAGGTTCGAGGGACGTGCCCACCGGTTCGGGCAGGTTCGAGGATCGAGGTGCGCTTGCTGGAGGTTTCTGATCGTCCTGGAGCGGCCTCGTGGCCACGGCTGGATCCGCTTCGAAATTCTGGTCTGCATCGAAGGAGCGGCCCCCCCAAAAAAACGCAGCCTCTCGGGGGGAACGAAAGGAGGGGATAGCAAAGGGCAGGGTCGAGAACCAGCTCACGTAGCTGATTCTCCCAGCGCCTCCCGGCGCCAGGATTTCGAGCACCGCGTTGCTCCCTCGAGGACCGTATCCAGGACCTCCGCTGGCAGCGCAAAGCCTCGGAGGACGCGGGCTGCCGTATGCACAAACCCTCGATCGATCGATCGATCGATCGAAGAGCCAGGATCCAAGCTCCTGTGCGTGTTCGTGCCCTGGGGACATCTCAGAGAGGCCTCTGGGGAACTCCAGAAACTTCTGGGGAATAGCAGTGCCAAACGATGTCGGTCCTGGTCATGCTCATCCTGGGCCCATGATTGGTGCACACTCGGCCACACGCAGGAGTAACTCTAGGCGAGAATGCCCTTCAGTGCGCGGCCAAGGGGGGACCCTTCGGGGACACCACCAGGCGCGCAAGCCGCTGCTATCGCATCGTATTCAACGATTGGGGGGCCCCAGTGGGCCCGCACCGGCAAAAGCTTACTCTTCCGCACAGTTCATCGACACACGCCCTCTTGATTTGGCCAGGGGAAGCTCGCGCGTACGTCGATCCCAGGCCCAGGATGGGCCTGGCCAGGGTCGTGGTGTGCAGTTCGGCAGCACACAGGAGTGGCTCCGGGCAAGACTGAGCTGTGGTGCGCGATAGTCGTTGCATGCGATGCGACCATCGCTGCGTGAGTGCGTGAGTGCCTGGGCCCCCCGCAGCTTGGCCAATACCAGGGAACACACTAAGCCAAGAGCTGCGCAATCATTCGGAGGCCGGTGGCCGGTGCGGATTTCTGGGATCGACGCTGAACCCCCCCTGGCGGCGCCTCTGGCGGCGCCTCTGGACCGCTCCGCGCGTCAGGGAGGGGGGCCAGCGTCCAGCGCCGACCCACGAAATCCCCGCGGACCGCCGAAAGCTGACGTTTTATGGCGATCTCCTTCCTGGGAGGCGAAACTCCTTACGCGCAGCCGAAAGTTGGCGCCGCCCGCGCGCCCGGGGGAAGCAGCCCGTACAGCAGCCCCAGCGCATGGCAGCCCCGGTACTGCACTACCTGGCCGATCCCAAAAACTCTCAGCCAAACAATGTGGACGCCTCACTTCTTCCGCACACCTTCCGCCAGCGGGGCCGCCGCCCTATTGCTTCCGCCGGCTTCCACTGGCCCGCCGAAGAGGGCGAGGGTGCGCCCAAGGCCACCCTGAGACCCTACGCTACTATGATAAGGCGCAGGATCGCGAAAAAACACGGCTGGAGCCCTAGAGCGCGTTTCTTTATTTTTGCGCGATAACGGGCATTATAGGGAGAGGAGGGGGCCAGGGGGGGGGGTATAATGTAACGCCTCCCCCCCGCCGTGTGCCCCGTGCGCACGGTGGCAGGGGCGTTACGTTATAGGGGAGGGAGGGGGGGGGTCGGGGGCTATAATGCCCACTATGCCCCAAGCAATGAAGAAACACGCTCCGCATCCTCCTCCTCCTCCTCCTCCTTCTCCTCCTCCCCCTCCTTGCTCCTCCTCCTCCTCCCCCCCTCCTCCTCCTCCTCCTTCTCCTCCTCCTCCTCCTCCTCCTCCTCCTCCTCCTCCTCATCCTCATCCTCATCCTCATCCTTCTCCTCCTCCCCCTCTCATGCCTAGACCTGCTGCGCATCTTTCGAGCCGCATGGAGCTGTGGTGATGGTCTCGGGTCGCTGCGGCGCGGGGCCGTCTCTCGAGCGGATCGATCCGTGATGGTCCAGGCTCAGGTCGGGCATGTCCCCCCATGCAGGCTATGAAAAGTCAAAACATACTCCCAAATTGTTAAACATAGCCAAAAATACCCCCTAAATGGCCAGATATAGCCAAAACATGCTCCCAAATGGTCACAAATAGTTAAAACATAATCGTCCCCTGACTGTTTTCCCCCTGTTTGGGACCACTCCTCCTGTGGAGGAGGGAAGGGTCCGATGTTTAAGCCCAGGCTCGCGAAAGCTTCTCTGTTTGGGCTGCCGCGGCCGGAGACAGCCGAAAGGAGGCCCTGCGGGGCCACCTTCGGGCACGGCAAGGCTCAATGGGGGCCCAAGGACACACACACACACAAATACACACATACACACAAATCCCAGGATTCCCCATATTTGTCAATCTATGTTCTGGGTTTCCGTCTCCCCCACCCCCACCCGATCTTTTTCCATGTCTTCTGGATCTTCGCCTCCCCCCCCTTCCACTTCCCATCTTCTCCCATAACTTTCCTGGGGGTCGACGATGAACAACTGTGTGTGTGTGTTCTTCCCCCCTGGAAGGGAGCGGGGCGAGCGCTGGGCGGGGACAGAGGGGGGCGCCGCGGACGGCGGAAGCACGCTCCGCGCGGAGCACGCGGAGCGCGGCGGGCCCGCGCGAGAGCCCCCCCCCCCCCTTGGCCACAGAACAGGGCGGCAGCTGCCCACAGCCCTGCGTCGAGGTCTGAACCTATGAGCCACGCGGGCTCGACAGTTGGCCGTCCTTCTCCTTCCCGCCACCACTGTCATCTCGAGGCGAAGCGTATTGGCCGCCCCTCTGTGCTCGCAGTGGTGCGCCATGTGGGCTCGACATATGGCCGTCCGTCTCTTTCCCGCCATCATCGTCGTCTCAGGGCGAGGCGTTTGGCCGCCCCTCTTCTGTGCTCGCAGTGCTGCCAGCCCTCGGGTAACGGCGCGTGGCTGTTGCCACTCCTCCTCCTCCTCCTCCTCCTCCTCCTCCTCCTCCTCCTCCTGCCAACGCGTCCACCTGGATGCAAGGCGTCTGTCTGTCTGCCTGTCTGTCTGCCTGTCTGTCGGCCTCCTCTCCTCCTCCTCCTTCCTCCTCCTCCTGCTCCTCTTCCTCCTCAGGAGAAGGAGGAGCAGGAGGAGAAGGAGGAGGAGGAGGAGGAAGAAGAAGGAGGAGGAGGAGGAGGGTCAAGGTTTCTGGGCCGCGCCACCTGGAAACTGCGGTGCGCGCGCACGGACGCGCTGACCGTCATCAAGGCGTCGGGCATGTCGGACATGCTCCGGGCTTCCGCGGCCTCCTCCGAGCCCCGGAGGGAAAACTCCCCCTCCAAGTTGTCGTCCAGCACGTCGATGATCGCGCAGATCGCCGCGTCCTGGACCTCGTCGGGTCGCACGATGACCCCTGACTTCGGATCCGCCATACCTTATTTGATTTTCCGGCTTAAGAACGCGTCGGAAATACACACCCAACATATGAGATATGGGGCGGGCATTTCCGCCTCAGAAATAAGGCGGATGCGTCCGCAAAAATTAGGCGGACGAACTCTGAAATTGAAGTGGGGCAAAATCGGCATTCAAAGAAGCATGAACAGTACGGCGGGAATGTCCGCCCTACTTGCGAAAACGCCTGGAACACTTCATTTCCAGGGTCAGGGAAGGGGGACTGGGCGGTAGAAAGGAGGGATCCCCAGACCCCCTCGCATCATGAACAAGATCACTACTTCAAGGGGCCCCTCCTGGGCCTCGGGACTGTCGAGAAAAAACGACTCAGGATGGAAAGCTGGTCCCTGGGAACGGGTCGAGACCTTCGGATGTCCACGTGAGAAAATCGTGACGTCAGGGGTCTGGGCCATCAAGGGGACTTGAAGGTGGGGTAGGGGCTGAGGTGGGGTTCGAGACAAATCACTCTAAGCGGCCCCTGGAAAAAGAACATGTGAGCATCCAGCCAGGATCGCTCTCTAACCTCACCTTGGGGTGACCCCCCCTCTACGCACCCCCGAGGGCAGCGAGTCGGCTCGCCGGCGCCGCGTGAAGCGCCAACGCATCGAGGAAGAGGAGCCCGGCGGCGGGGCCGAGACCGGTTGCGTGCACCAGAAGTCGCCCCCCCCTTCCGTGCGATCGGGGGCGCTTGCTTGGCGCGTCGACGCGGCGGCGGCCCCGGCGGCACGCTAAGCCTTGCAAGCGGACGGCGTGTCGCTCCGCACCGCGGGGCGCGAGGCTGTGGAATGGCTCGGGACGTCGACGCCTCTGGGCCAGGGCGTGGCAGCGTGACGCGCCGAAGCGCGGCGGGCCAGAGCCAGCGGCGCGACGCGCTACTGCCCAGAGCTTCCTGACCGTAGACCCCCGACAGCGGACAGCGTGACTTTGACGAGCGAACAACTCACACCCATACCCATAGGAGGGTCGAAAGGAGGGGAAATGGCTATGGGTATGGGTGCGAGTTGTCGGACCCTGGGGGAAGCTCCCGTTCGAGAGGGGACCCCCATCCGACAACACGCACCCATAGCCTCCTCCGTCCCCCCTATGGGTATGGGTGCGTGTTGTTCGATCGTCAGACTTCCCCAGACATGCGACGTCCTGATTATTTCAGGACGGCGTCCCTGGAACTTCAGACCCTTTCCCCGGGGCCGGCTTTTTCCCAGGGGCCGAAAATAGCGAAAAACTTTGTGATTTTTCTACGACGCGATCGTGTCTGGGTCTTCTCCGCGATTCCCCGGGACTGGCTTTTCGAGCCGAGCCGTGCCCTGAAGGCCACGGCGCCGAGCGAGGGCCCTCCGAGGCCGAAGATCGCACGAAAAAACGTCGGTCGTCTTTTTGTTTCCCCTTTTTTTTTCTGTTGGGTCACGACGCGGGCGAAGGGGTTTGGGGGGGAGGGAGAAGGGAGGAGGGAAGGGGGAGGAGGAGGAGGGGGAGGAGGAGGAGGAGGAGGAGGAGGAAGAGGAAGAGGAGGAGAAGGAGGAGGAGGAGGAGGAGGAGGAGGAGGAGGAAGGAGGAAAGACGAGGAGGAGGAGGACGAATGAGGAGGAGGAGGAAGAAAGAAGGAAGGAGGGAGGGAGGAGGAAGGCGGGAGGAAGAGGAGTGCCGGTCCCTTTTGCTTAGGCCAGAATGATGTTTGTATGACTGAGCGGCTTCCAGCTTGCAAGCGACCCGAGGAGCCATGCTCCGCCCTTTCTTGTAAAAATTACTTGCAATGAAAACAAGACAGAAGAGGGAGGCAGGAGGGGAAAGGGAGGTGAAAGGCTTGGGCCAGCACGGCAGCGGACAGAGCACATGCTATCCTGGGCTCTTCCCTGCATCCTGCCGTGCAGCGGCCGAGACTGTTGGACAGGCAATCGCATTCACAGAGCTAGACATGCCGGTCCCTTTCGCTTAGGCCAGAATGATGTTTGTATGACTGAGCGGCTTCCAGCTTGCAAGCGACCCGAGGAACCATGCTCCGCCCGATCCCATACTGTGCCCTGGAGGCCGCATGCTTCAACAATCTGCCAGGCGTCGTAGGCACAGCTCTCGCAGCTTTTCGACGCTCAAAGTGAGCCAGCGGGCCATCTGATGGCACAGCCTGCTGGGGCATTCTTCTGCGATGCGGCTTCGCCGCACGCCTCTCGGGCCAGGCCCTTGCAAAATGAGGTGCGGACGGCCTGTTGCGGAGCATGCGCCGCGTGTGCTCTGACAGCGGGCGCACAGTTGAGAAGGAGGAACTACACAATTCCAGGATCGCAGTCTAGTGGGCTTTCTCCAATTGACACATACCGAAGATGGCGTCCCGGCAGCAAGGATGTGCAGAGAGCTGACGCATAACTGGTTCCTGCCAGGCGTAACTACTGAGTGGGTTCTCACACATGATAGGCACACCATGATGGTTGCACGCACGGATGACCATCTGAGTGACAACAAGGGTTGCGTTTCCTACTATCAGGCGCTGCAGCGCCGCCCCCTCGAAGTGAGAGTGGCCATATATATATATATATATATATATATATGTCACTGGGGTTGCGATAGAAGTTGTGCGAGGCCTGCGACCAAGTTGAGCAAGAGAAAGCGGCGGCGACAGCGAGCACGCGGCGGCTGGCGATCCATCCCACGATGGTGTGTCCGACCACCTTCGAGGACAGATCGAAAAACTCTGAGCGTTTGAGATCCATCTCAAGGCATACACCGTGCAAACGCCTGATGGCGCGGGCCACGCCGCCTGCACCAGAAAAAAGATCAAGATAACACGAGGCTCGGTCGCCGAGCTCCTGGCGCAACGCCTCGCTCAGTCCTGCTCGGACTGCGGCTGCTGTCAGCGGCCTGCTCCGCACGAGCGCGTCGCCCAGTCGCTGCAGGCGCCCCGCCTTTAGCGCCCCGCTGCGGCTCGGTCGCACGGCGGCAGCAGCGCCGCGCGGCTGTCGCCCAACGGCCGCTTCTGGTACAGCGCGTCGTCGTCGATCGCTCCCTGCCTCACCTGGTGCGGTTGTGGGGCTGGCCGACCGATCATGGCGGCCGCTCGACTGAACCCCTCCCTGAACTCCGCGGCCGTGAACGCCCGCAGGCTGGCGGCGTACCCTGCCGCTCTCTTTAGCAGCCCGAGCTGGAAATCTATGCCCTCTGTGAAGACCCCGTCGAGCAGCAGCCCCACGTCCTTGCGGCCCGCCTTGCTCCGGCCGTCGGCCTTGGCGGTGTGCACCAGCAGGGCCCAGTTCTGAACTCCGAAGCCTGGCGGGGACCGAACGCACGACCGGCCCTGCCGGCTCATGCCGTGGCTTGGCAGCCGCCGCCCTCCGTCCCCCGCAAACGCCAGGCTGATCCCGAGGACTACCCCCATCGCGACGACTCCAGCTCCCAGCAGCGCAGCCAGCTTGGCCCGCGGCCGCGCCGCCCTGGCCTGCCCAGGCGCCAGGCGGCGGAAGCCCAGGAGGGCAGCGAGGGCCCGAGCAGGATCCCTCGCGCCGCCGCGCCTGAACCTCAGCTCATCGAGCGCCAGGCCTGCCAGAAGGCTGTCGCCCCGCTCGTGGTTGTAGCCGTCGGAGTAGAGGCAGTCCAGGTACTCCTCGAGCGTCTCGTCGAGCATCGACCTCGAGCTCGCGTCCTTCCGCAGCTCCAGGCACCCGGCCCTGAACGCCCCCGCCTCGGGGCTCAGCGTGTCGTGGCTCTGGTCCATCACGCGCCTGCTGTCCGAGAAGCTCTGCGAGCGGCGGCTGCCGGGCAGCCTGGAGGGCGCCGCGAGCGCCGCCGCGGGGCGGCGGCAGGTGGCCCGGCAGCCGATCCGCCCGGCCACCCCTGCCTGCGGCGCCGTCAGCTGCCCGCCCCGCGCCGGCAAGGGCGCCCACGTCAGGCGCCGGCGCGTCGCTCTCGGGGTCGTAGGGGTCGTTGGCCTCGATGCCGTCAGAACCCTCGCCTGAACTTGAACTACTCTCGGCCTCTTGAGCTGGGCAGCCTTGCCAGGCTGCAAGCTCACGGGTGCTGGGCTCCCCGTTCAGCGCGTCGCCGCCGGCTGCCGCTTCAGCGCGCTGGCGCGCCGCGCCGCCGGGCAGCGGGTCGTCCAGGAGGGTGTCCCCCAGACCCGCCACGCCCACCAGCGGCCGCCCCAGCCCGTCGAGCTCGCCACACAGGAGCGCCTCGTCCACCGCCGCGACCAGCGCAGTCTGCGCATCGCCCTGCGGTGCCGCTGCGGGGTCGAAGCAAGCGCTGCGAGGGTCCGCCCGCGGACCTCGAGCCGAGGCGCCAGCCGTGCGAGAGGGTCGATCTGCTGGGTTGGGCTCCGAAGGGATCCACCGAACGGTGACCGCCATGTCCCCGGAGATGCTTAGCGCGGCAGCCTCGCGGCATGTCTTGCTCACGCGGGGGGCGGCCGCCCGGCCCTTCCCAAGGGCCAGCGCGAGGCCCAGGTTGTCGCGCAGCACGAGCAGCTCGCGCCCGCGACGAGAGGCCACCCGAAGATGATGCCGAATGCCGATGACGACCCCGTGCCCTTCAAGACGGATTATGTTCTCGGCTCTGCTGAACCTGCCCTTGACCCGGAGCTGCCACGACTCGAGAGGGCCGACGTGTTCCGAAGTGATCTGCTCGAACGAGACGGTCCCCGAGTACATGTCCCCGAACGTCCGCTCGAACTCCGAGACGGGGGGCCGGGTCCTCGCCAGAGGTGTAGACTTGGCCGAACCGCAAGACTCGTGGCTGCACACACTCGGATTTTTGTCGGCACCCACGTGCGGCGGAAGGCGATCGGCGGCGCGCAGGCGCTCCGAAAGCCCGAGGGCGTGCGTCCGAGCCGCCACCGCCTCTGACACGCGGTAGCGCCACCGCTCTGCCTGCGAGCACGCCCGGCCGACGTCATGCGGGTCCCAGGCGCGGCCCGCCACGCCAAACCCTCCCGCGTCGGCGTCCGTCGCCCCACGAGCGTCGGTCGCCAGGGTCGGGCTGGCGGCGGCAGTCCACGTAGCTGAACACGACGAGCGCGGCGGCGATGCGGAGCTCGGCCCCCGCGGCGCTCCACAAGCGGCGCCGGCGCCCACCAGCCCAGGACGCGAAACGGTAGGTCGCCGAGAAAATCGACAGCAGCTCGCGGCGCACCAGCGCACCCCAAGTGAAGTGGCCGACGAGCACCCGCATCTCGTCGCCAGTGGCCGACCCGCGGTCGGCAACGTGCAGCAAGCTCAGGCGGATGCGCCACATGCGCCGGCGACTGAGCCCGACGCGGCCCCTCGCCTCGTCGAACGCCAGGCCCGTGAAGGTGGCCTCCGCGCACGGGCCCTCCAGCCCCTTGCATCTCAGGCCGACCGCCTCCAGCGACTCTCGCGCCCGCTGCGCCGTCGTCATGGTCTCCGCGTAGTCGAGACCGATGACGGCGGCCCCGCCGACGTAGACTGCCGCGGCGGGCCCCTTCCTCGAGCGAAGGGGCAGGGCGCCGATCGCGGGCCAGCCGCTCCCACGCCAACCCGCTGCGGAGGACCTGCGTCTCCACCACCTGCTGGCAGAAGAAGAGACTCCAGTTCCAGCCCATGGCCAAGACGGCCAGCCGCGGCGACGCCTTCCGCCAAGCCGGCAGCTGGGCGGACAAGTCGGGCCGCTCGGCCCGCAGCACGTCGAGGTCGACCGCGGGAAGCACGAAATAGTCGCGAAGCCCGGGCGGCGTGGCGACCCTGTAAAACGCGTTGTCCACGTCCATCTGGGCCAAGTGGAGGGCCCCCCCCTCCGGCGCAGTCAAGCTGCTCCAAGCCCCCGCTGTCGGGAGCTCAGAATGCGCAGGAGGGCGAAACCGCATCTTCGCCACCCGCGTGTCCGCAATCATGCGGAGGGGCCGCATGTCGCTCTTGAAAACGAAGAAGATGCCCACCGTTGCCTCGGTCCGCCCGCCGAGGTCGATCAGGCCCCTGACGAGCAGCTCCGCCACGAAGCGAGCGCACGTCTTCTTGCAATGCACTAATTTCGGATCGGAGAAAGGGCGAAGTCGAGGTCCGTCAGGTGGCCCCCCTTCGCGTAGAAGATGCTTCTGCCATCCTACCCACAGCTCGAGAGCACGACCAGTCAAGCAGTCAGCGCCAACGCGCTGGCCGCCCATGGTCGGCAGGGAGACCAGCCCTTCGGAGTAAGAGGATCGGCGCACGGTGTCTTCTGCATAACCCGGCAGGTGTGAGCACAGCTCGGCGCGAGCTGCCGCTCCTGAAAAAGGTGGAAGACCCGCCTCCTGAATGATCTCGCGGACGTGGTCAATGCCCGCGCGTTGAGCACGCGAAGCCTGAAGATCCTGACATGGAAGTCCATGTCCGTACAATGATTTGGTAGCGTGCAAAGCCTCTGAGAGCCACCGCGCAGCGTGCTGACGCTGCCGAGCTCGAGAGCGCACCGCCCGACATCCCCTGCCGCCCCAGGCACGGCCGGGCGCGGGCACAGGGCACGGCAGCAGCTCTCGAGCGACCACCATGAGCCATCGCCCCATGGCCCCGCCGGCGTCTGGTTTGCCGGTCTGGGGGCCTTCCCGCTCTGCCTGAAGCTTGCTGATCTCCGCCGCCTGCGCTGCCATCTCGTCCTGCAGCGCCTTGCTGCTGTCGCTGACCGAGCTCTGGCCGCGCGACAGCACCCCCTCCTTGTGAAGTTCCCGCTTCTCCTTCACGGGCGCCCCCCCCGCGGGGAGCGCCGCCAATGTGTGCTCCACGAACGTCAGGCACACCATCAGCGCGCTCCTCGTATCCAAATCCCTCATGCACAGGTACTCACTCGTCAGGTACTCGTCGCCGCTGCTCTTCAGCGGCCACTCTTGGTAGCGCCACTCCGCGAGCTGGGCGCGGCGCACCACCTCCACCAGCGGCCGCGGGGTCAGGCTGCGCTGGTCGACGCCCGCGCTGAGCTCCAGCACCCGCCTCGCCAGCCCGCGGTTCAGCACGTTGCCGTTGCCCGGCCGGAGACCGCACTCCGCGCGCCACTGGATGTGGCGGGTCCGCCAAGGCGAGTCCTGCTCCGACAAGAAGCGGACGCACCACCGCGCGGTGCGCGACCCCCTGCCTGGCCATCCCGGCCACGCTGTCCTTGCCATGCCACACGCCGCATCCGTGGACACCCGGCCCTTCGCGCCTTCGAGCCCGTACGCGATAGGCATCGCGCGGCCGTGCATCGAGCTCCCAACCTCCTTCTCCGTCACCACCTTCACTGAGTAGCACTTCCCCCTCGCCTTAACGAAGGCCAGTCCTCCGCTCATAGCGTACCGCTCGCAACGCCCGAGGTCGGCGAGCACGTGCTCATCGCTGTCTTCCTTGCTAGCCGTGATGAGCCAGCGCTGGTTGCCCACCGGGGGCGCCCTTCCCGAGCCGTGCTCGCGGCCCTCAGGCGGAGTCGCTGTCCCACCCCGCGCCGTCAGGCCCTCGGGCCTCGGTGACAGCGCTGTCGCCTCCTTCTCCTCCAGCGCCGCAGCGCCACGGGACTCGAAGTCGCAGTCCTCGTCGGGGGAGACTGCCATCCACGCTGGACAATTCGGACTCGTCGGAGGCGTCTCGAGCTCGCGCCCGTACTCGGCGGCGTCGGAGAAGTGCCGCAGAAGACGTACCTGGTAGTCCCCCCGCGGCCGCCACTGCACCAGAGCGCAGGCTCCGTCCCGCGGCACCAGCGCCGTGCCAGGCAGCGCTGCCCGCCAGTGTGCACATCGCGCAGCCGAACAGCCCACCGGCGTGCCTATGCTGAAGACCAGCAGGAGGAGCGACCGCGCGCCCCTGAACTGGTCCGCCGCCGCCGCCAGCTGGCCAGCCTCCGCCGCCACGTTGGCGAGGTCTCGAGCCCAGTCAACCGCCAATTGCCCTGCCGCGAGGAAGCCTGACTGGGTGACAAAGATTGGAAGCATGCGGTCGCCGCTCTCTGAAAGGCCTGGGCCAGCACGGCAGCGGACAGAGCACATGCTATCCTGGGTTCTTCCCTGCATCCTGCCGTGCAGCGGCCGAGACTGTTGGACAGGCAATCGCGTTCACAGAGCTAGACAGAGGAGGAGGAGGAGGAGGAGGAGGAGGAGGAGGAGGAGGAGGAGGAGGAGGAGGAGGAGGAGGAGGAGGGGGAAAAGATGACTCACGGCCTACCAGCGTTGGCTGTCCGCGAGAGACACGCCCGCCCGCCCGACCTCCCTCTCAGAGATCGGTCGGGCTTTCCAGGTCAGAAACTGTTCAGGGTACGTGTGATGGACTCGACATTGGATGCCACGTCTGTCCATAACACTTCGCGCTGGTGGAAGAAAGTGTAAATTCAAGTGTCCGGCGCTTGGGGACTCCAACGACGAAAAGTGACCCAAACGACGAAAAGGGATTCCACGACAAAAAAGGACTCCACGACGGAAATGAACGCCAATGACGAAAAGGGGCTCCCGCAAGATTGCATTTTTACAACATATTGTATTGTGTTACAGTATTACGTCTCCCCCCTAACCCCCCCCGGGGGCTACGCCACATCCGTCGACCCAAAGTGGCCACCCCCTCCCGGGGCTCAAAAACCTACCAAAACCTATATAGAACATCTATGATTTCGACCTCTTGGGCCTCTTGGGGGGCCACGAGGGCGCCACGACGGCTCAAGATGGGCCCACGAAGGCAAAAAAAAAACCCAATGACGGCCCAAGGGGGCCCCAGGCCCCAAGAGCGCCCCCAACTGCGCCTCCAGAGGCCGCAATTATTGATTTTCCTATGGTTTTGGCGATATTTCGGCGTTTCGCCTTTGCGGCCCAGGCAGCTTCCAAAATCGCCCCAAAACAACCCAACAAGTCCCCAAGAGGGCCCCAAGATGGCCCAAGAGGGCCCCAAGACGGCCCAAAGAGGCCCCCAAGACGGTCCAAGAGGCCCCTAAGACGGCCCAGGAGGACCCTAAGAGGGCCCCAAGGCGGCCGCGACAGGCCCCCAAGACGGCCTCCGAAGGGGCGAAACGGCAGAAAAACGCCCCAAGACGGTCCAGGACGACCCCAAGAGGCCCCAAAAGGCCCCCAAGAGGCCCCCAAGGGGCTCCAAGAAGCCAAAAGGCCTCCAAGAAGTCTCCAAGAAACCTGCGAAAAGGCCCCATAGAAACCCCCCAAAGCCCACGCAGCGACTGGAGTGTACTGTCATTTTCCCCCCCTGGGCGAAGTGCGGCGCAGCGCCGGCCAGGTGGAAGTTGGTCACGGCGGCGCCCATGATTAGAGCTGGCGCTGGAAGGGGATATGGGGAGGGAATATGAAAAGGAGGGAGGGGGGAGAGGCCCCAAAGACGCCCCCAAGAGGCTCAAAGAAGCTCCCAAGAGGCCTCCAGGAGGCCCCAAGAGGCTCCCAAGAGGCCCCGCGACGACGTGACCAAGACGGTACAGGATGGCCCCAAGAGGGCACCCCAAAAAAACCTGACGCCGCAAGAGGGCGCCAAGAGGACCCAAGAGCGCTTCCAGAAACAAGAATGATTGATTTCCCTTGGGGTTTGAAAGATTCTGGCGTTCCACGTCTGGACATGACGTGCTGAGCGGCCGCGACATGGCCACCAGCCCCGCCCCCAATGGTGCGAAACGGCGAAAGAGCCCCCCAAGACGGCCCAAGACGCCCCCACGAAACTCCCGAGAAGCCCCAACATGACTTCACTGTACGTACTCCGGACGTGCACCCCGCGAAGCGAGAGGAATCCACGTTCAGAGGTGACGTGTTGCCGGAGGCAGGTCTGCGGAGGCGATAGTGCAACGTATCCTGTGTATCCAATGACTGCACAATTGCTGGATATGCTGCCTATTGTATTGTGTTACGTGATTCTGCCTCCCCCCGAACTTCCCCCCCCGAAGCCACGCCACTTCGACCGACCCAAGGGGACCCTCCCCTTCTGGGCTTAAAAACCCACCCAAACCTAACTAGAAAATCAATGAATTGGGCCTGTTGGCCCTCTTGGGGGCCCGACAGGGCCTCAAGACGGCTCGAGATGGCCCCAAGACGGCCCAAGACGGCCCCAAGACCGCCCAAGATGGCCCCGAGAGGGCCTACAACGACCCCAAGACGCCACAAGAGAGCCCCCAGAGGACCCCCAAGAGCACCTCCAGAAGCCAAAAACCATTGATTGCCCAATGGTTTTGTGAAGATGTCAACGTTCCCGCCTATTTCTGGTCTCGGAGGTCCAGGACGGCCGAAGCAGCCTCCGAAGTGGCCCACAGACGGCCCAAGAAGCCCTCAAGAGAGCCTCAAAACGGCCCAAGAGGGCCCCCAGACAGCCCAAACAGGCCGCCGAGATGCCCCAAGAGGCCCCCAAGACGGCCCAAGAGTACCCCAAGACAGTTTCCGAAGGGACCAGACAGCGCAAGAGCGCCCCCAAGACGCCCACACGGGGCTCCAATAGGCCCAGATGCCCCCAAGAGGCCTCCCAGACGCCCCCGCGAAGACCCAAGAGGCCCCAAAGAGGCCTCCAAGGGGCCCCCAAAAAGTTCCCAGAGGCCTGACAACGACTGGACTGCACGTGCTCCGGACGTGCACCCCGCGAAGCGAGAGGAATCCACGTCTGGAGGCGACGTGCTGAGCGGCAGCGTCTTCCGGCGAATGCCCTAATGCAACGTATCAAATGTATCCGATGATTGCGTAATTGCTACATATCGTAATATGTTACACTACAATGTATCCCCCCTAAACACCCCCCAGGGGCCACGCCGCATCCACCGACCCAAAGATGGTGGACCCCTTCTGGGCTTCCGAAGCCGCCCAAACCGATGGAAATTCTTTGATTTGGGCCTCATGGCCCTCCTGGGGGCCCAAGAGGGCCTCAAAATGGCTCACGATGGGCTCTAGACGGCCCACGACGGCCTCGAGACGGCCAAGATGGCCCCAAGAGGGCCCAAAAAGCGCCCAAGACGGCCCAAGAGAGCCCCCAGAGGAGCCCCAATAGCGCCTCCGCAAACCCAAACCATTGATTTCCGGGAGGGTTTTGAAGGATTTTCGCGTTCTCGCTTTTTTCCACTGGACGACCCAACCAGCCTCCGAAATCGCCACATGACGGCTCAAGAAACGCCAGAGAGGACCCCAAGACGGCCCCAGAGGGCCCCAAGACGGCCCAAAGAGGTCCCCAAGACGGCCCAAGGGGCTCCCGAGACGGCCCACGAGGACCCCAAGGGAGCCCCCAGGCTGCCGCGAAAGGCCCCCAATACTGCCTCCGCAATGGCCAAACAGTGCAACAGCCAGCGCCCAATGCGGCTCAAGACGCCCCCAAGAAGCCAAAAGAGACCCCAAACAAGTCCCCAAACGACCCCCGAAAACCCCCCAAACGACTTGACTCTACGTACTCCGGACGTGCACCCCGCGGAGCGAGAGGAATTCGCTTTCCGTCCTTACGAAGACTCGCCGGATGCCCCTGCACTCTAGAATTCTGAACAGCAAACTGTCGGAGATGACGTGCCGACTGCCGATGTAATACCTGCCACGTGGTTCTGTTAGGGTCGGCGCTGCCCTGTCTGGCGATATTACGGGCCCTCTCGCCGTGCGTCCGGCGCCAGGATTGGATCCAAGGCCCCACGTTGCACTGTGAAATTGCCCGCGCAACCATACATTCGCACCGCGCGCAGTCATCATCCACTTCCTCATCTGGAAGCTTCTTGACCCAGAGAATTGCTCTGATCATGCGCCGTTGCGCTCCTGAAAGACGTCGCTCCTGATGCGCGGTCAGATTCCATGCGCCCGCGCCCCGCAGCGAAGTCGGCCCCAAGGTCACGTCCAGAGGTTGAATCTTCCGTCTCGGAGAGCCCCGCTTGTGCGTGCATGTGCCGCGGTATTTAGCAAACCATCCCCAAGCCTTTGTTACGCGGTGGCCAATCTCCTTCTCAAACATGTTGTCGAATCTAAGAACGGTGCCCCACACGGGAAAGCCTATACTCCTCGCATCTCATGTGACGACCTGGCTGTCCATGGTGATCTGACTTGGCACGTCGTCTGCATCGGTCGTGTACCATGTATGCAAAGACTGGTGCGGTCCACCTAGCTCGCGTGAAGAAGTTGAAGAAGACCCGGGCCATCAGTTCGAACATGCCGCACGAAGCACCCAGCAACCAGAAATTGTCAGCGAAGCACAGTACACCTGAGTACTACTCATCAAGAAGTACGCCCCGCGTGTTTTTGGTGCAGAGTTTGTTGGACCGCTGCGTGTCCGAATCCAATATCAAGTTGAAGATATTCGGAACATCTGGGCCGCCTTGACACAAGAACCGGGTGCGAGGTATCTCGTCGCTGTGTACATTGCCCGCCACAGCCCGTAATTTAAATATGCGGATCTCGCGGATGATCGCTGCCACTGTCACCTTGCGCATTCCTTTCTTCACGAGCTTCTGGACACCGACGCAACGGTTGACAATGTCGAACGCTTTGAAAATGTCGCCGTCTAGCACGAAAATGGGCGGCAAAACAACATTCCAATCAATATGCGATTCAACCAAATTTTGCCATACAAAAATGACATTCAAGGCCTGGCGACTCGTCCGGAAGGCAAAGTGGCCTCACTCAGGTTGTCGAGCACGTTCTTCTCAAGCTCCATGAGAGGTAAGCCAGGTACAGCTTCATCAGTGGTCTCAGCTTTGAGGGGTGCGTATGGTCTACTTTCTTCAAAATGCACTTTACGGTCACGTCTTCCCACGGTGTCTAAGTATTATCAGACGAATGGTTGAGAAGCCTCAGTCTGAATACCTGTGCCAACGCGTCATAAGTATCCTCGTCCGAACTGGTAACCCTCTCGATGACAACTCTGTCTTCTGAGCTGGTGCGTTTGTGGGCGAACCGGAACGCTACCCTCCACGCGAAATCGCCGTCGGACTTGTGAAAATTGTCAAAAACGTCAGTGTGCCAAACCTGGAAAAACCATTCAGGCAACTTCTCATGCAGGGATCTTTCGTCGTTGCACAAATCATGGAAGTAAGAGGTAAGCATTCGACATGTGCCCTCTAGGCTCACCACGATATCGTCGGCTTCCCCGCCCTCGAAGATATGGACTGCAGTCTTCTTTCACGGCTTCCTGGGGCGAGTGTGCACGATGGCCGCCTCATCCAGCTCTGCATCGAGCCTGATTCTGGCCAACCTGCGTCGTTGCTTGTTGGACGGATTCGAGGGGGAGGAGTATGAGGAGGAGGAGGAGGAGGCGGAGGCGGAGGAGCAGGAGGAGGAGCAGGCGGAGGAGGAGGAGGAGGCGGAGGAGATGGAGGTGTTCACGCGCGTCCCCCCCCCCAGTCTAGGTCCTTGTCGCCCCCACCCCACCGCTGTCGCCCGACCAGAAGACCTTGGGGCATTCGTGCTGCTCCCGCATCTCCCGCAGCACCGCGGGCAGCCCGGAAATTGCCGCCGTGGCCCAGAACAGGTACTTCGTGAAGCGGCTCTCGCTCGGCGACTCCGAAGGGGGTGGTCTGCAAAGGGTGTGGCCTGCAACCGGCACCCTTGGGGGGCACTCTGGGGGGCGGGCGAGGACCTCGACAGAGCTCTCCGCCGCGCCCCGACGAGGCCCGACGAGGACAGCGCCGTGCTCCCTAGGCCCCAGTGGTGCCCATCGCAAACCGCACCCCGGCGTAACCATGCCCTTTGCAGTCGCCGATCTCGCACTGCCCGCAAGCGCGGAGCCGGGCGCTCCAGAGGAAGAAAGAGCGGCATGAACATGAGCTTTCGGAGCTTCCCTGTCGGCTACACGCAAGAGTGACCCTGGGTAAGAGCGACCTTTGGTGCGCGGCTTTTGGGGGCCGCGGGGTGGCCAAACACAAGCGCGCAAGACGCCACTGCCACCTCGAGATCAGCGATCGGGGGGCCCATTGGGCCCGCACCAAAGGTCACTCCCGCGAAAGGTCACTCTTGCGTCTAATCGACCCTGAGATCCAAGCGGTGAGTTCTTGCACACTGGGCGCTTTCGCCCGATTCCGGGCCCCCCGGCCATCACAGGTCGATCCAGCTCAAACACATGCAGCAGAAAGCGATAGATGGGGCCCAGGGCTCCGTTCGTGCTGTTTTCGCCATGTTGCAACGTTCCCCAACCTTCGTGTGGTGTCGGGTCCTCGTCTTGACGAGACAGGACCCCGCGTCATTCCTCTCTCCCGCTGCCACCTCCTTCTCCAACTCCTCCTCCTCCTCCTCCTCCTCCTCCTCCTCCTCCTCCTCCTCCTCTTCCTCCTCCTCCTCCTCCTCCTCCCTCTCCTCGCCTCTGCCCTCCGCGTGTCTCTGGTTCGGCACACCCCTCACACGTCTCGCGGCCGCATATGAAGCTCCACCGAAGGCCAGAGTGGCAAGGTTCGCATGGCGCCACCGCACCCATGTCAGCACACCCCACACACGCTTCGTGGCCCCGTAGAGAACTCCACCGAAGGCCCCAGTGGCAGGGTTCGCATGGCGCTACCGCACCCATATCGGCACACCCCTCGCACCCTTCGTGGCCCCATGGGGAGCTCTACTGAAGGCGGGGCACACAACTGCAGTACTCGCACATGCATAGGGGTTGGCTCCTTCGCCAAGACAATTTTCACAAAGTCGGATCTCAGGGTCCGCGCGGATTTCTTGGATCGGCGCTGGACACCCCACTTCCTGGCGCAGCGCAGCGCGCGCCAAGTGTCGGTGCCGAAGCCGCCGCCAGGGCAGCTCCAACGCCGATCCCTCGTGGGCGAAACAGATAATCCGTATCCGCGGCCTCGCGGGCCGGGCCCCGGAGCTACGACCCCGCGGATGCGGACCGTTTTTCCGTTCACGCCCCACGTACATCCGTGCGACCGCGCATCCGCGGGACCGCGCCACGGGAGCCCGACCGCGAAGGGGCGCGGAGACACGGGCATGCTCGCACACCGCGCGGCTCCAAGAAGTCTGCGGTGATGAGCATCGTTTATCCGATCCCTATCCCCAGCGGCGCGGCCTGGGCCCCACTGGCCGATTTACCCCCCTGGATGGGGATATAGGCCGTTCCCTTCGGGTTTCTAGGAGTGTATCCCCAACTGGGGGGTCATTTGGTGGGGGTCTCGAAGGGGATGGGGATGGGGATGGGGGTCGGTGAAACGATACTGAGGTGAGCTCCGAAAATTGATGCCCGCGCAGCTTTTGCCTCCCCTACGCTCAACACCGCGCCGGTCGCGTCGCGCAGCGGCTTCCGCCACGCCGGGTTCAGGGCGGCGATGCGGCCGAGGGACTCGGCGGCCTCCTGCACGGCCTGGTTGTCGAGGCTGCCGCGCCCCTGGCAGGGGGGCGGCGCCGGAGATAGCACATGCTTGATCCTCCTCCTCCTCCTCCTCCTCCTCCTCCTCCTCCTCCTGATCCTCCTCCTCCTCTTCCTCCTCCTCCTCCTGATCCTCCTCCTCCTGCTCCTTCTCCTCCTCCTCCTGCTCCTGCTCCTCCTCCCCCTCCTCCTGCTCCTGCTCCTCCTCCTCTTCCTCCTCCTCCTCATCCTCCTCCTCCGACCCTCATTCCCAAGGCCGCTGTTGATATTCCCGCAGCGCAAGCACATACAGTCACAACGTGATAGCAAGGATGCGCGGCAAGGACGCAAGGCCCTTGGACGCCTGTGCCGAAGCTCGTCGATCGGGGGCGGTCATCGAAGGTGGCCGAGGATGCACTGCGGAGGCAGGGGTGCACGGGGTGCACGGGGCACCCTTGGAAAGGTCACCCCATGCTTGCCATCGTCTTCGACGGTGCACGCGTGTGCCGATCCTGGGCCCGGGCCCGTCCTGGGCCCAGGCCCAGGCGTGTGGGGCACCCTTGGAAAGGTCACCCCTGCTTGGCATCGTCTTCGACGGTGCACGCGTGTGCCGATCCTGGGCCCGGGCCCGTCCTGGGCCCAGGCCCAGGCGTGTGGGGCACCCTTGGAAAGGTCACCCCTGCTTGGCATCGTCTTCGACGGTGCACGCGTGTGCCGATCCTGGGCCCGGGCCCGTCCTGGGCCCAGGCCCAGGCGTGTGGGGCACCCTTGGAAAGGTCACCCCTGCTTGGCATCGTCTTCGACGGTGCACGCGTGTGCCGATCCTGGGCCCGGGCCCGTGCCGGGCCCAGGTTTCGGCGTGCACGCGCCCTCCGCGGCGCTGGCCAGGCAGGCACACTCGCGTGCGCACCGACCCTCGCCTGCCCAGGCTCGGCCAGGATCGAGGGGGAACGCTGGGGGAGGGGGGGGTGGCAACGCCGACGTCGACGCGGCGATGCATCGCCGATGGATCGGCGACAGGCCCCCGATGGCAGAGCCGCGCGCCCGCCCCCCTGGGCGGAGTGGGCCCTCGGGCCCCCGTCGGCGAGGAGTGGGCGACGAGGGGTTGGCGGGGTGGGCTGTCAGGCCCCCGGTCGGCGATGCATGGGCGGTTTGGGGGGCGATGCCTTCCATGGCGTGAGCCCCCCGGAGCCTATCCCCCCCCCTTGTCGCGGCCCCTGGTCTCTCCAGGGGCGCGCTGTGCCCAGCATTCCCAGGCGAGTGTCCGGCCACGGCGACGAGGAGCCCCGGAGGACCAGCAGAGGCGCAAGGTTAACAAAAAACTCCATGCTCGAAGCTCGATCCTCTTCCCTCCCCCCCTGATGAGCCTCTCCCCCCCCCTGCTTGCCATCGCTCGGACGTCCATTCCCCGTGCATGTTCTGGTGTCGCGCGCTGATTTTTCGCAAGATGATCCAGGATGCTCCTCGCCGAAAGAAAAAAACGCACACCTCCGAGCGATGCCGGGCTTATCGATTGCCCCCCGAAACATTTTGGTTCAGGCGCGCATGACTGGCGCTGACCCCGACCTGCGGCTGCATGCCGAGCGCCTCCACCAAGACCGCCGTCCCCTGGTCCAGCGCCTGCAGCGAGCCTGGGGGCTCAAGAACTGTATCCCTCGCGCGCCGCCGTGGGGAGCACATCAGCGTGCCACAGCTGAAGACACGCAGCCCTGGATCTGCACCTTCCGCACCTTCTGCGCGGCAGACGCCGCCGCGACACGGCCGCAGTGGCCACCGAGGCCGCCGACGCGGCGGCCTCGGCGGCGGCCGCCGCTGCGGCGGCGGCGCCGCCGCGGCGCGGCACCTGCCGCGCGGAAGGCGCGGAGGGTGGATGGAGATCGAAGAGATGCTTCCGGGCAAAAGCGAAGGATTAGTTTTAGGTCGGGCCTGTCCCCTACAGGCGGATTTTGGATGGCAAATGATAAAAAAAGCAGAAAATGCCCCCCCCCAACAAAAACAACCAAGAATACTCGAAATATCGTCCCCTATTTTTTGTACTATTCTATAATATTCGAACTGTAAAGGAACAGGCACGACTTACGATTAGTTAGCAGCGGCGTGTCTGGAGGAGAAAAGACGGCATCAAGTCATAATGTCTCGGAGGTCCGCGCGGATTCCCTGGATCGGCGCTGGACCCTCCTCCCTGGCGCGCGGAGCGCGCTGGGGCGGCGTCGGAGGCGCCGCCAGGGGTGACGAACGAACAACACGCACCCATACCCATAGGGAGGACAGAGAGGGCTATGGGTGCGTGTTGTCGGATGGGAATCCCTTCTCGAACGGGAGCCTCCCCCGCGGTCTGACAACCCGCCCCCATACCCATAGCAAGTCCTCCGCCCGCCGACCCCTCCATGGGTATCGTTCGTCAAGGGGTGCCCAGCGCCAATCCAAGAAATCCGCGCGGACCTCCGAGAAATCATGCTTGTGCCGTCTTCTGTTCCTCCCCCCCTGCAAAAGGCACCAATGATCTATGGGTGGCCAGAGAGGGTGTGCACACCTTGAGCCCGGCAGCGGAGCAGCCCGCGTCGCGCCCCCCCGGACGCCTCCCCGTAAAGTCACACGGCAGGCTCGCCGTCCTTTCTCCCTCGCGAGAGCCGGGCGCCACGTGGGCCGCCAGCGCGTGGATCACGCCCCCGAGCGTCTTCAGCGCGAGCGGGAAGTGCTCGGGCGCGGACACCCGGCACGTCCGCGCGAGGTCCAGCACCGCGGACGCCACCTGAGCGGCAGGCAGCCGCGGCAGGCAGGCAGGGAAGGGGAACGATGACGGCGGACCAGCTCAGGGGGGGGGAACATGGAACTTTCGGCTCGGCGATGCATCACCGACGCGTCGACGATAGGCCCCGATGGCGAAACCGCACGCTCCCGAGCGGGGTGCGCGAAAAACCTCCCGTCATGATTGTCCCCAACCGTCCTGTGGTGTTGGGACCTCGCTTTGAAGAGACAACGCCCCGCGTCGCCTCACTCCTCCTCCCGCTGCCCCCTCCCTCCTTCTCCCATGCCTGCCTCTGCCCCCCGCACTGGTCCACAATTTCGGCACCCTCCTCACACGCTTCGTGGCCACATAGGGAGCTCCACCGAGGGCCCCAATCGCTGCGCTCGCATGGCACCACCGCGCTCATTTCGGCACAGTTCGGCAAACCCCTCACACATTTCGTGGCCCCAACGAGGGCCCCAGTGGCTGCGCTCGCATGGCACCACCGCATCCAGCTCGGCACACCCCTCACGCGCTTCGTGGCCCCATAGGGACCTCCACCGAGGGCCCCAATGGCTGCGCTCGCATGGCACCACCGCGCCTATGTCTGCACACCCCATACACGCTTCGCGGCCCCATAGGGAGCTCCACCGAGGGCCCCAGTGGCAGGGTTCGCGTGTGACCACCGGAACCTTGTCGGCACTCCCCTCAAACGTTTCGTGGCCCCATAGAGAGCTCCACCCAAGGCCCCAGTGGCTGCGCTCGCATGGCACCACCGCGCCCGTTTCGGCACACCCTTCACCCGTTTCGTGGCCCCAAAGGGAGCTCCACCGAGGGCCCCAGTGGCTGCGCTCGCATGTCACCACCGCGCCAATTTCGGCAACCCTCACCCGCTTCGCGGCCCAATAGGAAGCTCCTTCGAGGGCCCCGGTGGCTGCGCTCGAATGGCACCACCGCGCCCAGTTCGGCACACCCCTCACACGCTTCGTGGCCCCAAAGGGAGCTCCAAAGGGAGCTCCACCAAAGGCCCCAGTGGATGCGCTCGCATGGCGCCGCTGCGCCCATGTCGGCATCCCCCCCCCGCACGCTTCGTTGCCCAATAGGGAGCTCCACCGAGGGCCCCAGTGGCTGCGCTCGCATGGCACCACCGCGCCAATTCGGCACCCCTCTAACGCTTCGTGGCCCCATAGGGAACTCCACCGAGGGGTCAATGGCTGCGCTCGCATGGCATTACGTTCGGCACTCCCCTCACACGCTGCGTGGCCCCATAGGGAGCTCCACCGAAGTCCACAGTAGCAGCGCTCGCATGGCACCACCGCGCCCATGCCGGCACACCCCTCACGCGCTTCGTGGCCCCATAGGGAGCTCCCCCAGGGGCCCAGTGGCTGCGCTCGCATGGCACCACCGCGCCCATGTCGGCACACTCCTCACACGCTTCGTGGCCCCATAGAGAGCTCCACAGGGCCCCAACGGATGCGCTCGCATGGCACCACCGCGCCCATTTCGACACACCTTTCAGACGTTTCGTGGCCCCATGGGGAGCTCCACCGAATGTTTCACAGTGGCTGTGTCCGCATGGCGCCACCGCACAAATTTTGGCACACACTCACACGCTTCGTGGCCCCACAGGGAGTTCCACCGAAGGGCCCAGTGGCTGCGCTCGCATGGCGCTACGGCACCCATGTCGGCACACCCCTCACACGCGTTCGCATGCGCCCACCGCGCACGTTTCGGTACATCCCTCACACGCTTCGTGGCCCCGTAGGGAGCTCCATCGAAGACGATACGCACAACTGCCTCACGTACAACTGCAGCTTTTGGGGTCCTTCGCCAGGCTAGTATCATGACCCGAGGGGGTCTGGGATGTCGGCGATCGATGGGCGGTTGGGCGTCGATGCATCCCCCCCATGCGCCTGCCGCCCTCTGACGCTGCCCATGCGGCAGGCACCCCCGCTGACGCCGCCCGGAGGCCCAGCTCTCGGGCCCCGTCGGCGATGAGTGGGCGATTGGGGTCGATGCCCCCCCCCTGAGCCTAACGCTGTTGCCCGCGCTGCACTCCGTGTCACAACTTCGCTCCCTGGAGGCCGCCCGGGACGATGCGGGCGCCCCTGGAACGCTCCCGGCGAGGCGCAGCGGCTGGAGAGCAGCCCGCGGCTGGAAGGCCGCCGAGGACGGACGGACACGCCCGAAACTCTCCGTCCTCGAACCCGAGCCCTGGACCCCGCCCTTTTGCTCCGTTTCCCAAAGCAGATCGATCTGGGAGGCCCCCCGGGGCTCGAAACGGGACGACAACGCTCCCTGTGAAACATCCTCCTCCTCCTCCTCCTCCTCCTCCTCCTCTTCCTCCTCCTCCTCCTCCTCTTCCTCCTCCTCCTCCTCCTCGTCCTCCTCCTCCTCCTCCTCGTCTCCTCCGCCTCCGCCTCCGCCTCCGCCTCGTCTTCTCCTCCTCCGCCTCCTCCGCCGCCTCCGCCTCCGCCTCCGCCTCGTCTTCTCCTCCTCCTCCTCCTCCGCCGCCTCCGCCTCCGCCTCCGCCTCCGCCTCCTTCTCCTCATCCCCCTGCGACGCCCGTGATCTCAGGGTCGCTCCATTCCGCCACCTGCGGATACACGCCGAGGTTCTCCTCGGAGGGGTGCCACGCGATCTCCTGGAGGCCGGGAGCCTTCCAAATGGGGTCCCCAGAGCAGTGGGGTCGGATGATCGCGCCGCATCGCCGATGCATCGTCGACGTCGGCGATGCATCGAAGGCGTCTGTGTAAAGAACACCGGGCTCCGCACCGAGCCGCATCGCCCATGCGACGCGATTCTTCGATCCCGCCTACTACGAGACATGCTATGTCCTGGTTTTGTCCGTACGCGGGCAAGAGGTCCCGACCCCTAAGGCTGGTTTTTCATCGCGGGTCGTTTCTTGACGGCCACGAGGCCCGGCGAGGGACCCCCAGATGCCGAAAACAGCCCGAGAAACGCTCGTCGCGAGCATGTCAGGCTCGCGTCGACAACTTTCGGGCCACAACTCGGTCATCCGGCGGCTAGTCTGGACGATCCGGGCGCCCCCCGAACGCTCCCGGCGAGGCCAGCCTTAGGTCGGGCATGTCCCCCTACAAGGGGATTTTGGACGAACAATCAAAGAGACGCAAAAATATCCAAAACATATGCAAAAACTGCCAAACAATTAATCACACATCGTCCCCGGACAATTGTTGTACTATTTCTGATTGTTCCTCCTGTAGAGGGACACGCCCGACGTAAGGTCAGCCGCGGGGAGGCATCCCGAGGCAGGAAAAGCTGTCCGAGAACCGACCAGCACGCCAAAAGATGCCGGCAGCCACCCGCGGGGACACCCCGCCGCGGTTGGTTTGCCTTAGGTCGGGCGTGTCCCCCTACAGTTCAGTCGGGCGTGTCCCTCTACAGGAGGAATATGCAATAATAGCTAAAAATAAGATGGGGACTCATTTTCGACTATTTTTGACAATTTTGGTGTATTTGTTTGACAATGTTGCATTTTTCGTCCAAAATCCGCCTGTCGGGGGACACGCCCGACCTAACCCTACAGGCGGATTTTGGGCGAAAAATTAGAAATAGTCAGAACATGTTCCAAAATTGTCAAAGAGACTCCCGAAAATCGCCCCTCTTGAATTTGCCTCCTGTAGAGGGACAGGCCCGACTTAAAAGGTCTGTCCCGAGGCAAGCCGTCGCGAGACCCCTCGGCGGCGAGCCGGGGGGGGGGGGGGGGGCAGGGATAAGGAGAAGGCCTGCTCGGAAGGCTCGGAAGTCCCGCGGCCTTACCAGAAGTTTCCTAAGCTGACGATCCACCAGACCACCCCCAACCCAGCCCGAAGACCCGAATTCTGGGTTGGGGAGGGGGTACGGGCCTCATCTGTGTTTTTGCCGATGTTCCCCGAACCCCCCCTGCAATGGAAAAGGAGGGCAAGTCGTGGCCTTCGGGTTGGGTTGGGGTGGTTTGGTGGGCGGTGATAAGGTCTGCCCGAAGCCGCAAGAAACCTCTCAGAAGGCTCGGGCCTCCGAGAGGTTCTGCCGCCCTCTGAGAAGGCCTTCTCCTTCTCACTTCCCCTCCTCGCTCGCCGCCGAAACCAGACCCCCGACGTCGTGATCTTTTCGCAGCGGCGACCCCCAGAGGTCTGGACCCCCTCCCCCGGGACCGGTTATTCCTCCTGGCGCCGTTCTTTGACAGTCCCGAGGCCCGGTAAGGGCACCTGGAGGCCAGAAGAAGCGACAAACAACCTCCCGTCGCGATTGTCCTCCCAAACGCGAGGGGGTCTTAGAACTCCGCCTGCCGCGAGGCGGCCCGCCCTAAAAGCTTGCCTCGGGGTGCGACAGGGAGAAGTTCTTTATAAGGAAAAGGAGCGGAGGAGGAGGAGGAGGAGGAGGAGGAGGAGGAGGAGGAGGAGAGGGAGGAGGAGGAGAGGGAGAGGTAGGAGGGAGGAGGAGGAGGAGGAGGAGGAGGAGGAGGAGGAGGAGGAGGGGAGGAGGAGGAGAGGAGAGGAGGAGGAGAGGAGGAGGAGGAGGAGGAGGAGGAGGTCCGGCCCCTGGGAGGCCCTGCCCCGAGCTCCGCCAGGGCCACCATCCCCCCCCGCAGGCTGCCCGGGCCGGGCAGCCGCACCATGGCCTCGAGCACCACCGCGACCCCGCCGATCTGCCCGAGGGCCCACAGCACGTCCCCGGCGCACCTTCGGAGGACGCCGGCTGCAAATCGCCCAGGAGGGGGAGGAGGGGGGGGGAGGAGGAGGAGGAGGAGGAGGAGGGAGGAGGAGGAGGAGGAGGAGGAGGAGGAGAGGAGGAGGAGGAGGAGGAGGAGGAGGAGGAGGAGGAGAGGAGGAGGAGGAGGAGGAAGAGGAGGGAGGAGGGAGGAGAGGAGGAGGGAGGGAGGAGGAGGAGGAGGAGGAGGAGGAGGAAGAGGAGGAAGAGGAGGAGGAGGAGGAAGAGGTGGAGGAGGTGGAGGAGGAGGAGAGGAGGAGGAAGAGGAGGAGGAGGAGGAGGAGGAGGAGGTGGAGGAGGAGGACGCCGACTGCAACCCAGACCCCCATCGCGTCGTTAAACAATCACGACAGAGATCTTCCGCTATTTTCGGCCTCCGGGGGGCCCCACCGGGCCTCGGGACCGTCAAAAAACTATAGTTTTTCATCCTGAGTCAACTCCGGATGAAAGACCGGTTCCGGGGAAGGGGTCCAGACCTCTGGAGTTCGACGTTGTGAAGAAATCACGACGTCGGGGGTCTGGGAAGCCTGCGCCGATCCTCGGGCCGCTCGGATTTCAGGACGGCCGTGCCTGGGCGGCTTCGCACGAAAGCGCGGCGGGAGGTTTTTTGGACGGTCTCCTCCTCTGGCTCCCGAGAGTTTTCTGGCCTCGGGATGCTTCTCAGCGGCTGCGCCTCGCTGAGTGCCCTCGTGGTTGCCCGGATCGTTCACAACGGCCCCCGGAGAGTCGAGCGATGACTCCAAAGCCGGACGACTGGGGGGACTGGCTCACTGGGGGGAACATCGACGTCGACTCGGCGACGCTTCGCCGATGGATCGGCGACAGGCCCCCGATAGCAGATCCGCGCGTCCCTGGGCGGAGTGGGCTGCCAGGCCCCCGTCGGCGATGAACGGGCGGTTGGGGGCCGGCCGGGTGGGCTATCAGGCCCCTATCGGCGATGCACGGGCGATTTGAGGACGTCCCCCCTGAGCCTAGATCCCCCCCAGGATTCCGAGGCGAATCTCCGGCCACCGCGACCGAGAGCCCCGGAGGACCGGCGAAGGCGCACACCTGTGCAAAACTCCATCCTCGAAGCTCGATCCTCTTCCTTCCCCCCCTGATTCGGGGGCGCGCAAACATGGATTAGCGATCCATGGATTTGGCGCGCGGTCGCCAAATCTAGGAATCGGGGGAGGTCTCCTCCCCAAAATGCGACCGGTGCCGCCTCGCTCGGCGGCGGACATCCGCGACTCCCCATGGAAACGGGACCCGTCGCTAGGCCACGCCCCCTCAATCCATGTTTGCGATCGCCTGACTGATGAGCCTGTCCCCCCCCCGTGTGTCAGCTGGCCCAGCGCCGACCCCAGAAGTCCGCGAGAACCCAGGAACGTTTACGCGAATGCACGCGTTGGTCCTCCTCGTCCTCCTCGTCCTCCTCGTCCTCATCGTCCTCCTCGTCCTCCTCCTCCTCCTCCTCCTCCTCTCCTCCTCCTCCTCCTTCCTCCTCCTCCTCCCCTCCTCCTACCCTCCTCCTCCTGCTCCTCCTCCTCCTCCTCCCTCCTCCTCCCCCTCCTCCTCCTCCGTGTCCGCTGGGGGGAGCAGCGGCGTCGACTGGGGCGCCGAGGCCCGTGCGGCGAGGATTGGGCGACCGGGGGTCCATGCCTCCCTCCCTTCCTCCTCTCCCCTCCTCCTCCTCCCCCTCCTCCCTCCCTCCTCCCCTCCTCCTCCTCCTCCTCCTCCCTCCTCCTTCTCCTCCTCCTCCTCCCCCTCCTCCTCCTCCTCCTCCTCCTCCTACCTCCCCTCTCCTCCTCCTCCTCCTCTCCCCTCCTCCTCCTCCTCCTCCTCCTCCTCCTCCTCCTCCTCCTCCTCCTCCTCCTCCACCGTAGCTGCCCCGATACGCAACACGCAACACGTGGCGTATGGATACGGAACTCAACACGTAGACTGAAAGCGTAGATCTGACGCGATGCGTTCGCCAAAACGTGGGCCAATGCGTCGAGCCAAAACGCAACATGTTGACACGGACGTTTTTGAGCACGGCACGTGCTGCGTATCAATGCGGGCGTATCGAGGCAACTAAGCTCCCCCCAGGGCAACGTTGGCCGCATGGTTTTCAAGTCATTCCTGACTTCAGATCTGCCGTACTTTGGGCGATGTCGCAAGTAGGGCGGAAATTTCGACCTTACTTTGCCGCCGCAGTTTCTGCCACGTTATTGCTGGAGTATCCTCCCTATGTTTCCTGACGCGGAATTGTCCCCCTACTCTTTCGCACTTTCGGGGTGCACGTCCGACAAAATTCTACATCGAACGAAAAGTAACCAACGCACGGCGGGACCGAAGTCAGAGTAAGATCGGTGCCTACGCCCTCCTGGCTCGGCCAGGGAGGCATATACACCGATCCTGGGCAAGGTATCGGTCCAGCCAGGACTGGTGTGGGTGAACATTTGGTCCCCGGCGCACCTCTCTGGGAGCGCCCCTCCACTGCCTCGCGGCGGCGCAAGAGCGGGCGCGAGGTTCGAGGTCCGAGGATCCAGGCTCGCATTCTGGAGGTCTCTGATAGCCCTGGAGCGCCCTCGTGGCCGCGGCTGGACCCGGTTCGAGATCCTGGTCGGAAAGCACCCCAGAGAGGTCTGGGGGGGGGACTTTGGACCTGTGATCAGAACTCCGACGACATGATATCATGTCGTCGGTCCAACGGATATCCGGTCCAACGGAGATCTGTTGAACTGGCACTTTTTCTTGGATCTCACCCCTCGGTGGCCGCTTCCAGGCCCTCAGGCCGTCAAAAAACTGACCCAGGACGGCACGCTCTCCCCCCAGGGAGGCGGAGGAGGAGGCGGAGGCGAAGGAGAAGGAGGAGGAGAAGGAGTTGAAGGATTAGGAGGAGGAGGAGGAGGAGGAGGAGGAGGAGGAGGAGGAGGGGGAGGGGGAGGGGGAGGAGGAGGAGGAGGAAGAGGAAGAGGAGGAGGAGGAGGAGGAGGAGGAGGAGGAGGAGGAGGAGGAGGAGGAGGAGGAGGAGGAGGAGTCGGGACCTCCGAGGCCGCGACCGGAAAAAACACACGTCGGCGGATGTCTGGGCGCGGGCCCCGGCGGAAAGGGGTCCTGGAATCCATGAACCAACGCCGACGTCGCTCCGGTGCACCGCCGACGCTGCCGGTGATGCATCGCCGATGCGTCGCCGATGCGGCGCCAACCTCCGGCCCACACCACTGGGATTAGGTCGGGCCTCTCCCCCTTCAGGCGGATTGTGGACGAACAATTTAAAAGACCCCAAACATGTTCAGACATAGGCCAAAAAATGCTGAACAAAAATATCCCCAGACTATTTCTACTATTCCTGAATAGTCCCTGTGTAGAGGGGCAGGCCCGAGTTAACACTGGGACCCCATTTTGGGGGGGACCGCCTCGGAGATCGCGCGGGAGTGCCTCCGAAGAAAGCCTCGACGTGTGTCCGCAAGGGAAGGCCCTCAGCCTTAGGTCGGGCGTATCCCCTTACAGGGAGATCTTGGAAGAAAAAACAAAAATACGCAAAACAATAAATGATATTCAAAAAATAGAAAAATAGTCGTCCCCGAACTATTGTTTTACTGTTTTTGAATATTCCCCCTGTAGAGAGAGACACGCCCGACTTGTACTCCGGTCGGCTTGAATGATCTGGCGGTCAGGTCGAAATTTGCATCTATGTTCCTCGATGCTTACGACGCTCGTCCAGAGCCAACGGATAATGTGAACAATGCCGACATACATCTACAACACAATGTTCAACAAGCTGCCGGTATTTTGCCAACGAGAACATCTTTAGCTAAGCAGGCGTGGATAAGACAGCGCACGCAGGATTTGATAGAGGAGCGCTCTATGGCCCGCAGGCGCGGGGATAAAAAAAAACAGAACAAGCACTGCATGCTCGTATTCGCAACTCTGGAAAGAAAGATCGTGCTGATTGGTTGGATTGGCTACTCAAGTACAGCGGCTGGGACGCAGTACGATACCCCAAGAAACCCAGAACCATCCAGCATGCATCTATCAAGCGGCTGGATGAAAGCCTGGCAGGCACTCAAGATCGCGCGAACGTCTTGGCTGACTACTTCGTGGACGTCCCATGGTAAGGTCGATTTCCAGACAGGGCATCAGAGGCACAAGATCTATTGGGAGGTGCTTTATCGATGCCCACACAAACACAATTTAACGCTTCCGGCACTATCTGCAGCAGTACTCAAATTACGACGTGGCAAAACTCCTGGAGAAGACGGTGTACCACCAGAATTTTGGAAAGCTGTAGCATGTTGTCCGGATGCGTGCGAGAAATTGCTTTCATTATGCCAGCAATGTTGGGCAGAAAAAAAACAATACCAAACTCTTGGAAACGGGCGAATATAATTCTCTTGTTGAATGGAGACACAGCTTTGCCATCAAACTTCCGGCCAATATCTTTGCTAGCGGTGGGCTACAAAAGTCGGGCATCGATGATATACCAAAGGTTATTGGATTGAAACGCTGAGTCAAGAATGCGGGGCACGTCTGACGCCTTGATGCTCATCAGGCGCATGAGTGATGCGACTTACGCCAACAACGACGGTGGCATGCTTTCGGTCATGTTGGACTGGGCAAAACCTTTTGCCCGATTAAATCCAACTTGCATGTGTGAAACGCTGCGCCGCTTTGGACTCCCAGCTGATATGTTGGCCATGATTGGGTCTATTGATTCGGCTCGCTGTTTCAAGATTTTGTGGATCACGCAGGGAACTCGACAAAAAGACAACAGAGAGCTGGGATTGCTCAGGGCTGCCCCCTTTCACCTTACTTGTCCCTTGCAATTCAATATGTTATGCTGCACGACGCGCCGAATGATATCCAGCACGACCCTAACCCGGAGTACGTTGTGACACGGAATATATTGTATGCGGAACACACGCTTCTAGCTTCGCAGAGCAGCCTCACTCAACGCGACCGTGACCGAAGGCGCAAAATATGGCCTGGAGCTGAACTGGAGAAGACACTGCACATGCAGATAAACGCGCATTCAATCATATGTCAGCTAGATGGGGGTGGCATCAAAACAATACGAAACGCAGTAGATTTGGGTGGGCTTGTTGCGTGAGATTGGGAGAAGCCACTAGGGCATTCAACTCGCTATCCAAGATTTGGTCAGACTCTTCATCCGGATTGAAGCGCAAATGCTCTGTATACGACGCCTGAGTTCTCAGCAAGCTCTTATATTCGTTGGATTCTAATTGGCTCTTAAAAGCCGACTGGCAGCGACCGGGCGCTTTCCATGTCAAATGCGTCAGGCGTCTCTGGGGCACTTCGTACTCATATTTATCCAAAGTGAATGACGCATACGTTTTTCAACGAGCAGACACAACGCTGCTGTCGGACACACTGTTATCAAGACAAGTTAAGCTGTACAAGAAGATCGCGGCATCCTCTGGCACCTCCCTCGTGCGGCGAATACTCTGCAACGACGACGGGGAACCGAAGACGTTCATCTCTAATCAGAAACGCGGCCGGCCGCGCCAGCAATGGGGCAAAAAAGTGCATGCATTGACACGGTGCCTGTAGCTATCCCTCCGCGCCCTCCCCCCTGCCTCCTCCCAGCGTGCTGAAGCGACAGCTTTCTGCGACGCATCCTATGCATGTTTCTTTCTTACGAAGAGCAGCCAACCGCGCTCTCTTCGGCCTGCGCGTCCTGCCGGATGCTTGGCTTCCTGCTGCTGCTCCTGCTGCTGCATGTACTCCGGGGATGCCATCTGGAAAGCCTCTGGCCTCCAGGAGGTCGCGCGGCACCCCTCCGATGAGAGCCTCGGCGTGCACCCGCAGGTGGGCGACGGGACGGCCCCGAGACCCGGACGTCGCAAATTAGTCGAGGAACGGGCGTTGTCCCCCCCGTGTCTCGGGCCCGACGTCGCCCGTTTTGCACCGCACACGCATCGCCGATGCATTGCCGGTGCGTCGCTGATGCAGCGGTGGCGTCGGCGGGGTCCTCCGTGGGACGCGCAAGGACATACTAGTAACTACTATGTGTCCTCCTTGGAGGCGTGCGTCCGACCCGAACATCTAGTATAACTGAATTGTAACATATCGCTTCTCGAGCGGTATGGGCAGAAAGCGCCCGCCAAGGAGCATATACCCTCGGCGCGCGCTTCGCCACTTTGGGGGCGACGCGCACATAGTATTCGTAGTTTTGGGTGACGACGACTCCGAGCCCACCTGCTCAGACCCATCTGGGAGGCATGGCGTCGGGTCCTCGGGTCTTCTTCGCCGCTTACACCATGTCGCACTGAGGAGGCCCCCTTTCCGCCTCTCAGGACGCACGGGAAACACGCTCTCGAGGTGGCTAGGGCATCCCCACCCCCTCGCGTTGCGAGCAAGTCGCTGCGAATTTCTTGGCGCGGATATCCCCCAAAGGGCATCGCATTACCTGGCAACTCCCGCTGTGAGCGTCTGGCTGCGAGCGTCTGGGCGCGAGGGCGAGCCCGAATGGGCGACGGGCGCGACGACGATGACAACGGCGGCGGCCCCGATGAGAGACAGGGGCGACGACAACATCTCACGAACAGGCGGTGGGCAAATCCGTCACCTTCCCTTCCTCTCCCAGAGCTGGCCTGGAGACGTCAGAGATGCTTTCTGCAAGAGGCCCCGCTGGGGGCTGGCTGCTGACAAGCAGGTGCGACTGCTGCGCAGGCCGAAATACAAGGCGACCAGCCGCACTTGGCATCAGGCCGCACAAGGCTGGAGACGTCAGAGATACTTTCTGCAAGAGGTCCCGCTGGAGGCTGGCTGCTGCAGGTGCGACTGCTGCGCAGGCCGAAATGCAAGGCCACCGGCCGCACTTGGTATCAGGCCGCGCCGGGCGCAGGGCGGCGCGCATGCTGGGGGCGACCGCCAGGGGGCCCGAAAAAGGTACGCTTTCGGGTGCGCTAGTGCCACGCCTGCCATATCGCGGTGAGCACTGGACCACTCTCTGGCGTTGGCGGGACCAGGTTTGGTGGGACCTGGTCTAATGATGTGCACCAGGGGGCGCCCCCCCCCGTCACAGTCCACGAACCAGAATTGCCGTAACCCGAAGAGCATCGGCTACGGCAGACCTGGTTTCTAGTGATTGCAGTGCATATATTTTGGGGCTTCGGGGACCAATCACTAACCGGCGCCCCTTTGCTGGGGTCCTGGCCCGAGACTTCCCCAGCAATGCAGGGCAATGGCGAGCAGAAAACATTTCGATATAGGTTTTAGATAAGTTCAAAAGTAGGTTCGGGAGATAGGTTCGCAAGCATAGTAGGTTCCAGGAAAAAGGTGCAACGCGCGGGGAAAACGTGTCATCGGGCATATAGCCTCCCGTTACTGGGTTTGTCAAAGCGCGCCGGCGCAAATGCCGCGGGCAGCTAAGTTGGCGAAGCGAATCCGCCAAAGTAGCCCTGGCAAGTGCACCCGGGGACGTTCCCTGGCCGCGGCAACCTCGCCAAGAAGGTTTGCAATGGAAAGGGCGCC